TATATATATTATTTAAACTTAAATTTAAACTTACTTTGAATCAAAGGTCGAACAAATACTTTTTTTAATTCTGAAAGAATTTTTGTTTTATTTCCTAAAGCATAAAAAAGTTGAGTTTGAAAAGTTGTCATTTTTTTAATCCTGAGTCTTTTTTTCTATAAAAAACAATGGATCGAAAGAATTAAATAAATTAATCTCTTCTTTAAAATTTGAAAATAGTGGTAATAAAGTAATACTGTTCTATCTAAATTTATTGTTGTTTTGATTTGTTTTCAGTGTTTAATGCCATCTTGTGGATCGAGAATATAATAAAAATATAAGTATTTTTTAAAAATTTTTAAAATATCAAAACAAATAAAATATGAGTAATAAAAAAATTTTATTATTATCAAATTATATTATAACGTAAAATAATAAATGATAACATAATATTTTATTATATTTTTAGAGAAATGTATTTAGAAATCAAGAGATGGCATTGATTTTCAATTCTTACTTTATTTTACATTATCTTTGAAAAAATGCCTTGAGCATTCAAGAGATAGCACTAATAGTTAATTCTTATTTTATTTTTATTCTTTTTTTATCATTTACTTTCCTTTTTTATATTTGTTTTATTTATGACATTCTGGAAATAACGCTGATTTCATAATTTTTAACCTCTTTCTATTATTTACTTAAATTCATCATACAAAATCATATAATTTTGATTTTTAAATAGCAAAATACAATTGCAGAAATGATGAAGTCAGAAATGAATAAGTTCTTTGAGAACTGTGACTATATGGATAAATAATAAAGATGAGGTTTGTCAAAGAAGAATTATATAAATATTCGTATTTTTATAGTTAGCTGTAGGTAAATTATGTGAGCGAATACTTTATTTTAAATATTTATTTTAATTTTTAATATTCTATTAAAATTGATAGTTTTAAAAATATAATTTATATATAAAACAGAATATTATATTTATTGATCCCATTTTATACATTTTTATTTCTCTTTTGCTTTTTGAACAACAAATGATATATTTTTATTTAAATTAGTTGAATAATTATATTGAAAAAAATAAGACATCGATCTTTTAAATCGATAATATAGTTTTTTTGACTTTAAGAAAACTTTAATTTTATAATAAAATTATTATCAGAATATATTAAGAAATAGAAAATAATTATTAGTTTTTAACTTCATTCATATTATATATATAAAAAAGATATATATTGTTAAATATCATAAAATAATAAATAATATAATATTCTTTAATAAAAATTATTTCTTTGATGATACAACTGACCGTGTGGCCTAATGGATAAGGCGTCGGACTTCGGATCCGAAGATTGCAGGTTCGAGTCCTGTCACGGTCGTTTCGAGTAATTTTTTTTTATTTAAAATTTTTAAAATAAAAATCAATATATTATATTTATTAAAGTAATATTTTTATTTGTATACATATTATTTGTACATATTCGGAAAAAATTAATTGAGCAACACTAATCAAAAAATTATGTTTATTATTAAAAATTCAATCATTTAATAAATTCATTTAATTAAATAAATAATTTCATTAAATAAATAATTCATATCTTTTTATGAATTTAGAATCTAAATACAAAAAAAAAATTAAAAATTCTAATCTTTCATCTGGATTAATATATTTCATATTATTATATTATATTAGTTTCTTTACAATTTATATAATTACGTACAAAATTACAAAATTATTACTTTATTATTAATTAACAATATTAATTATAAAAGAGTATTTAATTTTTATTAAATACTTATTATATCTTTATATAAATTTATAAAAAAATGAAAAAATATTTCCTTCGAGCCGGATTTGAACCAGCGACCTATGGATATCTGAGAATTTCTAAGGAAGCCAACTACAGTCCACCGCTCTACCAACTGAGCTATCGAAGGTTTTATGTTTGAGGACCGAAACTGAGAACAAAATAAGGTTAATTAGTATATATATAGATTTAAAAAATAATTTAATTTACTTTTAAATTACATATATTCTATATTTATAATTATATATTATATTTACTTCTACATTTATTTTTATTATTTTTAAATTTTACAGAATTAGATGTGGAATTTAATTTTATAAAACCAATCAGAAACTTAAAATATTTTAACAAACTATTTCTAGTAGAAATTATAAATAACTTAATATAGAAAATAATAAGAAGAAAAGATAATTGATACACTTTTAGCAAAAGTTAATATTAAATTTAGTTTTTATTTTTTATTAATGAAACTAATTTTAAGTTTTTCGATAACAAATATCTCGTAACGTGACCTCGAAACATTTAATTTGATAGAAAAAGATAGAAGAGTCAATGTGACGCAAGAAATGAATGAAATGGTTTTCGCATGTCCTGACATTATTACGAATACGAAGGTCGAAGCTATTTTTTTAGATATTACTGCAAACTTCATATTATTCAACATAAAAATATCATGAAATTTTAATCATGTTAATAAAATTAGAAATTAGAAATTAAAAATTGCAGGTTATGTCATTTTTACAAAAAAATCTTATAAAAATAAGTTTAATAAATTTTATTTTTACGAATATTGTATTTATAATCATTATTTATTTAATATTTATTATTTTTAATATTATTTGACGTAAATCACAAATAATATGATTTAAAATATTATTTAGTCAAAATTTTTCGTTTGATAAAAATCAATTATCTAACTAATCACATTATATATATATATTATTATTATATTTTTTTCAATCTAAGAGGATCAAAATTTTTGGCGATTAGATAGTTTTCGATAAATACAAATGAATATTAATTTAATTATTATGTATTAGTAATTATTAAATTGCTATTTATCTATAGCAAGCAATCTTTTTGATATTATTTTCATATTATTAAAAAATAATCATAAATTTAAAATTATTATAGCTAGATATTAATTTAATACTAACTTAAAATTTTAATCAAAGTTTTTATTCAATTAAAAATATTTAATTTTTTTAAATATTTTATTTTTTTAGACTAGATATCGATTTAATATTTATTTTTTAACGACAAAATTTTTCTGGGTGTGCCGTTTTTCTAATCAAAACATAGTGAATTTATCTTGACAAGACCACACCTAAAGTGATCAATTGTTTAAATGATTTTTTCTTTCTTTTTAAATGATTTTATTTTATTCATTCAAATAATATAGCGAATTATCATGAAATGTTACATTTTAATTTTCAGCTTTTCAATGATNAATTTAATTTAGAATTAATTTAGAAAAAATTTTTTTTTTATATAAATAATTTAAATAATTTTGTCTTATAAAATATTTATTTTTGTTGATAAATATTTTATGAATGTAATATTTTTATTTTCTAAAATTTATATAATTTATATTTTTGCATAATATTAATGAATGATTTAATTATAGGAACATCATAATATGATGAAAGATGTATAAAAATTAAAGACACTTGTTTAAATACTATTGTAAGAAATTCTTGATCGCAGAAAACTATAAGGAGAATATATCAATAATATAGTAGACATCGTATTTCTTGGAAATAAATATATATTTAATATTGCTCCGATGAAAGCTGGAAATTCGTTTAATATAATTTAGCGGTAATTGGAAAGGAATTAAGAATATTGATAAATATTTTAAGATCTCTTCACAATTTATTTTTTAAAATAGGTGTTTTTAACATATAGTAAAATTCTAATATTATTTTCTTAATAAGCCCTTATAATTATATATCCTTATATAATTATTGCGAATATGCAAATCTAATTATAAATTCGAATTTACTGAAAAATTTAAATATAATTTAAATGTAATTGCATATATAAATAATATATATATAACATATGATATGAGACCGTGAAAACGTATGCTGAATACACATTTTTTCCTACATTAAACAATAATTTCTATCGATATATCGATATTCTCTCTACTCTTTTTTGTAACTATCAGCGCCATCTCGTTATTATATAAAAAGTTATAAATTCGTAAAAATATTTAAAAATTTATAATTGTATATAGAAAAATTAATTTTAAATTTATTAGTATATATAAACGAATATTAGAATATATAATGATGTATGTAATAAGAAAATGTAAATAAGAAATTAAAAATTGTATATCGTCATAATATTTTAAAATAAACTTAATTTTTATTTATAATATTATATTTACTAATTTGGATTTTCACATTGTAAACTTATATTTTGAGGATTGAGTAGACATTATTTTTACTTAATATTATTTCTAAACATTTCATATATTTCTTTTGATAATGATAGTAAAAGGATAAAATGCATGTCATCATTTATCAATTGATATCGATAAATATATTATTATTTCAGAAGAAGATGAATAGATAAATTCCAAATTATTCCTAAATATTGAAAGTGAATAAGAAAAAAATAAAAAAATTAGAAAGACAAGAGATATTAAAAAGATACAATTCTCATTTATGATGGCGGGCTCGGAATTGCGCGACTGCGTGGATTGAAGCAGAATTTGTAGACTAGAAGCAGAGAAAAAAAAATAAAAACGATAAAGAGAGATAGTTTGCATAACGTGAAAAGATTAGAATGAAAACAAGAGAATAAAAAAGATACACTAAGCAAACGAATATAGATATATATATAAAAATAGAATATAAAAAAACATGACATAAAAATATTACAGGATATATGATATGATATGAAATATAATAGAAACAGAGAGTAATGAAATGAAACAGAAACAAAGATTCATTAAATAAATATGGCATATAAATATGAATTAATAATTATAGAAAATGAAATATTATAAAATGAAAAGAATGTGATAGAATAAAAAAATAAAAAAGAGGGATAGAATGAATAATAACGGTGTGAGGAAAGAGGAAGATAGCGAATATGAAGCGTTACGAAGGGTGGCGGGGATGGAATGGAACAGGCGAGAAAGGTGGCGCTCTCGCGCAGTCTGGCGTCGTCGGCCGACAGGTGTGCATTGAGGGTGTGTTTAATTGTGACTTTCTTTTATTTCTTTGTACTCTCAACAGTTTTAATCGTGACATCGTTTGCTTTTGTGTCTCTCGCGAGACTTGTTTTTTGAGTGTGTCGCGAAGTTTGTATCTGTTATACAATGATAGCAAGCGAAAACTAGTTATGCCGGTCGATGAGATTTTGTGACTTCTATCGTGGAAAATTTCATTCGATGATCGCCAATTAATACAATGGGTAATAAGGTAATGTTTTAATGCCAAAAAAAAATACAATTTTGAATCGTTCGATGTAGACTGTTGTCCAGGCCGGTAACGAATCGATTTTCATGAAGAGTGAAGCGGGAGCTGTGAGAGAGAGAGAAAGAGAGAGAGAAAGAGAACGAACGTATGTGCTACGATCGAATGAGAGAGAAGAAAGATAACAGGGATAGAATGAATATTTTTCCTTTATTTTTATTAATTCTTCTTCATCTGTATTTGATTTATTATATTTTATATTATCTTTCTTTTAAATCAATATATTTTTTTGGTAGTTTCTATTCGTTCTTATTATTTTAGTCTATTTTTCTTTCACTCATTCCATTTAGTTGCATCTTACATTTTGTTCATATTCGTTCATACCCACGAGTGTATTTCTGGTAACTGACTGTTCCAACATGTCTTGCAACCAAAGAAACATGAACTTTTCATCGAAACACGCTTCGGTATAATATTAAATCAATGACATTATTATAAATTGATTCATCAGAAAAAAATTAGAAAATATAACTAGATTATAAATTTTTTTTATATAGTCATAATTGAAAAAATATATCTATCATAAATTTTATTTTTGGTTCATAAGATATTGAACACGAAGTTGAGTAATTCATACGAAAAATAAGACTTCATGGTAGATCAATTTCAGCCATTATGCTTTATACATATTACAAAGATAAATTTTTGAAAATTAAGTCAATTTATAATTGATTTATAAATGAAAATCGACTTTTTGAACAAATGTAATCTATTACAAAAAGAAAACAGTTTAATAAGATGCTATCTTAGAAAATGATCGAGGGCATTATTATCACGAGGATGATGTTTAGCGACCTCTACGTACCAGTGTAAAAGTAATAATGGCTTTAAATGCGCCCTAAATGAATTAGAAACCATTGACCGTTTTAAACAAAGATGACGCGTTTCGTATAATGTATAACTTCGTATATAAATGATATTGTGTAACATTATATGCGGATTACGAACAGTAATAAGACGGAATTTTCGTTCTAGTGAAGTTCCGCGTCTCTGACCCTCTTCCGCCCTCTGATTCTCCTCCGGTCGATAGACCCAACTTGACGTCTCTCTCTCTCTCTCTCTCTCTCTCTCTCTCTCTCTCTCTCTCTCTCTTTCATGCGCTTAATAAAAAGAATGAAGACGAAGTGAAAAAAATGACAAGATAAAATATGAAAATTGTATAATAATGATATTTATATTATATATACCAAAATCTGATTTTTTTATTACATTTTCTAAATCGATATTATAGCCATTAAATTCTTATAGACTATACATAATGTGATGGCTAATGAAGTATAGTGAAAAACTGATGATAGTTATATTTTTTATGTATTTCGTCAGAATTATTACAATTAAAGGGAAATGAACAGAAATTGTAATCGGATTGTCGAAATATTATGACCCGATTTAATAAGCACATTTAATAGTCCATAATATTAAACTTTCCAAAAGTGATTTTTACTTTTAACAAATTTCTTTCAAAGAATTGTGCTTTTTCATCTCTAAATTTTATTTATCGGTAAGTGAGATATGAAATTATTAAATATTATTAATCATAAAATAAAATTTAATTTTTTTTAAATTAAATATTAATATTTTAAAGAAATGCATTTTTTATATTTTTCGGAGGAAAATGTTGTTATCTTCAACAAATATATGACATGACATAATTGAATTAGTTAAATTGAATCTATACAGAAACAGTGATGAAAATGATCTCATGTTAATTAAATTTTCAATTAATGAAACAAAAATGTATTTTTTTATTATTTTAATTAATATTTTTAAATTTTGATAACAAGATTTGATTTTTTGTAGTTGAAATTGAAATATACTTTTTTTTTAGTTTGCATTTAAATTTTATATTCACAATAAATGCATATTAATAACATAATATTATTTCAATTATGTTTTTTTTTTATTTTTTCAATGAAAACAACAAAAATAAATGTATAATTGCGCAGTAAAAAATTATTTTGTATCAAGTCTAATAACTTTTCTAATATCTCAATCGCCTGAATAATTTCTAAAAAAAATCTTTTTATAAACTTTTTGTAAATCTTTTTTTAAGAATAGAACTAGAAAAAAATTTCCATTTTTAAATTATTTTTTAATAAAAAAAAATTTTTTATCACAAAATATTAAATATAGTTTTCCATTGATTTTATAATATAATAAATTTTTATCTTGATATGAAATGAAAATGTATTTTAATGTTTTCTATGAAAAATCAATCCATATGTTTCATAAAATACATTAAAAATCTATATCAAAATTCAATTAATTCATTTAAACGTTTAATGATATTTATGATATACAGCATATTGATTTATTCTCGTATATTTCTTTTAAAAAAATGATTCCAAACAAAAATGATAATACATTTCTCAGTATTCACATTGAATTAATATTAATTATATTAATTATTACTATTCTATTATGAGAATAATAATAATACATAACAAGATGTTCTTTTGCAAAGAATAATGTCTACTGCTTACAGCTTACGTGACTTTCGTTAGATACGATTAAATCCTGGATATGTATATGATTGCAATTGCAACAAGTAAGATCTTCTAAGATCTTTATAGTGCTTCGAGATTATACATTTATGTGTAGGGTTTTCGTATTCTCTGTCTTGCTGACAATACTATAATATTATAGATTTAATATTATAATCTCTAATTATTTCAAAATGCGATTACACTATAATTTGCCACTTTTTTTTTAATAAGTTTAATTTTCGAGTTCCTTTCTAATTCATCTTTTTGATCTTATCATTTATTTATTTCATTTTTACAATGAAATAATATATTCTTATTTTCTTATTATATTTTTATCTTGAAAATATTTATGGCACATTCGATATATATTTCAAGTTCGCAAATATGAGATATCGTTATAATTTGCATATTAATTGTGTAACGAAGATTTCATTTTTTCTGTTTTTCTTATTTTTTTTTCCCTAATCTTTTTATTATTAATAGGAAAAAAATAATTCTTCGATTTTTATTAACACAACAAACTTTTTCATTGATGCTCATAAAAATACTAATTGTCTCATTTGAAGATGCATACAATTGTTCCACATATATGATATGACATGCAATATATACAAATGTAATCAGAATTAGTTAAATAATATTATATGTATAGATTTATACTATATCTATAGATTTAATATATATACTTTTTTGAAAATTCATAAAATGTTAATTTAATTCAATTAAAAAAAGATGTTAACTTAGAAATAAATTAAAAATTGAAGATACTAAACTTATTAACTTAATTTCTTTAATTCAATATCAATAACTTTGTTGATTGATTTAGATTTGAATAAAAAATTTTACAAAAGATATAAATTTTAAAAATTAAAAAATTTTAAGCAAAACATTAAATTCGAAATTATATCATGCGAATTTTATGTAATCGGAAAATTTGTCATTAACTTAATAATTATAATTATAATTAATAATTCTAATATATATTATATTGCCATGTAATTCGAAAAATTACTGCCATTTCGTATCCGGCGTTGGTCAGTAATATCGTCGTTACGACGCGGCGTCGGTTTGTCTGGCATGTTCCTTACCTCGACAACCCTCGATGTCGTGGGGTGAAGACCCTGCGTGTCTAGCCAGAGTCTCCCGTGCATTTCGTATTTATTATTTATACGCCGACAAGTGTCTACATCCGGTAGGATACGCGCGGGAAATTCACTTCGTTAAAAAAGAGTATCGCGTCATGCCCTCCAATGCAAAATTAGGGAGAGATCTTTCCATCGTGCATTTTTCAAACAACAACAGCCAAATTCAATACAGCAACACGGGTTTATTATCTGTAACATTAGATTTCTAAAAAAAACAGTAATTGAATGGCTCGAATTTTTAGAAAAAATTGAAATTAATTTAAGATTTTGGATATATTGAGAATTATTCTTAATTTACAATAATAATTTGATTGGATATTTATATTGATATTTTTATATTGACAAAAAATAATATTTTTTATTTTGTTTATTTGATATATTCGTAATATTGTATTAAATTAATTTTTAAAAAAAATAATTCAATATAATTTTTTCAAAAAATCTTGCAATAGAAAATTAAAATTAACTTTTTTTATTTTTTATAAGATTTAGATGAATAAATTTAGAATTAATATGTTAAATTTAAGGATTTTAATACGTTAAATAATTTTAAATTAAATTGAATTAATTTGAAATGATTGAAATTAATCAATCGTTTAACATAAGAATTATGTGATTGATTCATGTAATCCTTTGTCATAAATTATTTAACCAATAAATCGAATCTTATTATTCTATTTAAGTTCAAGTTCTAACTCAAGATTCAATTAATATAGAAAAACAACATTTATCTAACTTCTTATTCATGAATGTCGATTGTTTAATAATCTAAATTTACATATATTCTATTATCATTTGATTACAATTTCAATTCAGAATTATAAATATTCACATTAGAAAACATATTATGCACAATAAATAATGCAATAATTATCTCTTAATTCCGATGTTATTAAATTATTTAACAAACTTTTCTAAAATATAAAATTTTTATCAAGAAAAAGATTTAAATTTATTAGATATGATTAATATCTTTTAGATTTTAGTTTTTAGCTTCTTCAGTAGTAATATCTTTTAAATATTAATCGTATCTTTATATATAAATATAACATTTCTAAAAATATTTTGTAATCTTCTTTTATCAACAGGACAATATTTCTTGAGAAATCGAAGAATTCACTTGAAATTCATAAATTCTTCCGCATCTTCGTTTATTGGATTGCGGAGAAGTTGATCTCACATAGCATGGATTAAAGGATAGAATTTTGTTGGATTTGTATTTTTATCGGAAAACCTTGATTGTTTATGGTATTGCTATGTTGCATGAATCGAATGAATAATGGAATGTGCTGCAAGGTTTGATCGAAGAAAACTCGACCGCATACTCAGTATTTATACTTGAATTATAACTATTTATATCCGCGTCCATCTGTTTCGCTTATTATCTATGTGAATGAAGATGCATCATTTGTGTGTAAGGAATACTTAAGAAAACAAGAATTCAAAGTTCCTTTAAATAGGATAGTATCATATATTATATTATATATGATGGAATATGGAATATTATAGCAATTTGATTTTAAAAATAAATTTTAATTGAAATTTTATATGTTTTAAGTTGATGCAATACTTGGATAACAAAATAAATTATGTAATTTTTTATTTGCTTATTTTTCTTTATATATAATTTTCTAAATACAATATTTTCTTCTATTTAATATTTTTTATTATAATTAATTAAATAAATTTAGAAAATTCTTTTAAATAGTTTTTTAATTTTTTTATTCTTAATTTTTTATTTTTTTAATTATTTTTTTTCTTATATAGAAAATTATAATGAACGCAATCAATTATAAATCATTATTCTTAATTTGAAAATATAAGAATAGATGAATGTCAAATAATGAAGAAAAAGAAAATAATTAAAGAAAAAAAATGAAATCTTAAAGAAACAAAATAATATAGATATATTAGAAAGAGAATTTTATTAAATTCATACATTAATATAAAAATTGATAACTTGGTAAGAAATTAATAATTTCTTTTATAAAATATTTATTAAATTAATAAATATTACTTCTAAGTATTAAAAAAATATTATTATTATATATTATATTTGTTATAAATATTATTTTATAATTTATAAAACAATTTTTTCTTTTTTAAATTTTTTCTTTATATATCGAAGGAATTCGTCGAGAAAGGATTCCAGGAGAATTCTTGATAAAATATGGTTTGCTGAAGATATAATATGATCAAGACAATTAGGGTCTCGCGTTTCCGTACAATTCAACGGAATGAATTAAATTTCAGGGACGAAGGAAATGTCGCGTGTTTCGTACGCTAATAATTTTGTTGAACGCATGTGTGATGTCTATTCTTCTTTTTTTTAATTACATTTTATATAGATAAAGAGAATTTTATATAAGTGCTATGATTTATATTTAATATCAATAATTTAATATCAATATAATAAAACTTATCGAATATTGATGAATTTTAAAAAACATTTCAAATTTTAAAAAATGAAATCGAGATTATCCCTAGAATTTAATAAAAAGAATTTTTCAGAATTTAAATTGTATCCTATGCATATATACTCCAATTTTTATATTGATGTTTTAATATTTTTTATTTAATAAAAATATTAAAAAATATATTTTTATAATATTTATATATTAAGTAACGTATATAATTTTTTAAAAATATAGAAAAGTTTTTTCAAAAAATTTTAATATGAAATAATATGAAATATTTTTAGAAATACGAACGTTGATTTTAAAAAATTCAATAATCATATTATTTAAAAAATTAAACATAAAACAGATTTATTAAAAATTTAGTAAAACTAATAATTTAAAATGAATAACTACAATATCTAATATTATTCCCATGATCTATTAATGATCTCACTAAGTGTCATTATTTGCAATGCTTTCTCAATAAGATGTGACATCATCTAAACAGAATTTTTACTTGTTTAATGTTTCTACTATTAAACATATATACAAGTAAGAATAATCGCGTGATATAACATCCTTAGAGAAAGCAATATTAAATTGTTTATACTATTAGAATATCTATATACAAGAAATTGATGAAGTATTTTTCTTACTGAGATATTCTGTAATTATTTTAAGTTATATTAATACAAATTGAAATTCTGTTCTTTTATAGTTTATTTCATCATATCATATCAATTTTTTGTCTTATAATACTTGCACGATGTTTCAAAGTTAACTTCAATTTCTTGCGAAATTAGTTTTTCTTCCATGCGTTTAATCTTGATATGGAACAAAGCTTCTTTATTTTTCAATCTGGCTTATAACGAATAACTAAAAGTGTTTTTCATTATTATTTTTTCGTAGATGAAAGGCAAACCCCTTGATTCCAATCGAACTTAATTCAATATGGATGGAGCAAGCCAGAAAGGCTAAGAATCCATCCCAAAAGTTGCCATCCTGGTTCTCAACTGCTTTCTCATCGAATTGCTTTCGACTGGGAACTGGATTAATTTTATTCTAGTCAAACGTGAGTATTCTGTTCTTAAATACTTTATCAATGATTTATTTATTTTTTTTATAAGAAATTTATAATTAACTAAAAATCCTTTATTTTAATCGATTTTTATATATATTTTACAAATTTATTTTTTTTATTTAATTATACAATTAATGTATTTATTTATATAATATTTCGTCATTTCTTAGAAATTATATCATTGATAATGTATATGATCATCGTCTAAAATTGTTGAATAAATAATATTATTAAATGATTATTAAATGAAATTATAATAATCAATAATATAAATATAATAATGAAATTAAAATGTGCTAATTGGCACAACGGAAATCTGTTCTAAACGGAAACCTGTTCTGATTAAGAACTTAAGATACGATAATTATTGCAATGCTATTTTTATCCCAAACATTATACGTCAACATTATCATGAAAGAAATATAATGAAGTAATCCAAGTTTTAAATATATACTGATTTATAAATTATACTTGCAAATATTCAGATTAAAATTTTGAGATTGTTTGACGTGATGTTATTAAAAAAAAAAAAATTATAAAATAATCCTACAACTAATGAAGAATACTGGTTTCTTGAAACTGCTTTGATTCAATCATAGATCTCTTTATTTACAGCATTCAACGTATAAAGTCAGACATAAGTACAGTAAATTTACATACACGTGTATTATATACATATATATATATATCTGAGTAAGACATTAAATAAGATTACAAATTGTTAATTGTTTAATATTTACATATCATATATTATGATAACCTATTAAAAAGATAGCTATGTTAATATCTTAAAATTTTAGTTTAGATAAGAAATTATTTTATTAATCCTGATTAGAAAATATATATTAAGATGAATTATTTTGGTTGTTGTTAACTTTCACAATTAATTTAATTTTTTGAATTATAAAATAGAAATATTTAGCAAGTAGTTTGCTTTCATAAGTTTTAAAGTCTAAAATATTAAAAACTCTTGGTATAGACAAAATAGTCCCTAAATATATTATAATATACACTACTATATATATTATAATATATATTTTTCTTATGTAAGAATCAAAAATTTATATTTCTAAATCTAAAATCTCTCATTCTCAATTCATGAAACATTGTTAGTCATCATCTTTTCCCCAGTATAAAAATCTAAAACAAAATGAAAAACTTTTAACTGGATCTTTCAAACTTTTTGATTGGTACCGATGGTTTTATTTACAATCTCATTATATCTCGGCATATATTATCGCGAAGGGTTGAATTTCTGTCTGCTATTATATTCGTTAATTTATATATCCAATATATAGGATTAAAGCTTTTAGTTTAAAAATCCTCCACCGGATCAATTCCTCCTTAACACGATTTACGTGTTTCCTTCTATTGATGCTCTATAAAAACCTGTATGTTTGATGAATTGCAGCGTGTGAAAAGTCTTGGATAATCGGGGACGAGGATGGCCAGGAGCAGTGGCTCTACAAACGCGCCCCAGCGATGCACCGATCGCACCATCGTCGTTCATCGCGATGCCGTTGTCGCAGCTTGTAGTACGTCTGTTCGCGAATCACGATCGATCGGAATCGGGTACGATAGAAACGGCCACGGCACTGCTACCTCTGCCTACACTGGCTACGCTGCCAATTTCGATCAGGGAGAGGGCACGGTCGATTAGAGTCGCCCCTTTTGATACAACTGCCGAGCAGCACGTGATTCACGTAAGTTTCACGTTTGCAATAAAGCAAATTGGTATCTTTTTCATTTTTATTTATTTATTTTTTTTTTATTTTTCTCTTTATTCGTTGTTTGTTTGTTTGGTTTTTCATTTGTTGGGCCAATCGAATAGGCAAGATTGAGATTTTTCTTCTCTTTGCTATTTTCCTATCCTTCTTCTTTCTTCTTTCGTGTTAATGGAAAATATCGAATGACCTCGTTTTTTTTTTTATTTTTTTTTATTTATCGATATTGGATACTGTCAATGAGCATGGTTTTTTTTCCCCCTTTGGAATTTCCATCAAAAATGGATTTGGATTTTTGGATTTTTGTGTTAAGCGAAGGATAATTCGATAACGATATTTAATTTTTGATGCTTTCAATAAAATGTATTGTAAAGATTATAAAATATTTTATTTGGAAATTAATGGAAAGTAAATAATTTAGATAATTTATTTAATGACTTTATTTGAGTAATTATTTTTAGATCTTTATATTTTAAAAAGAAGATAATCTAATTATTTAAGAAAAATTAATAGTTATCCAATTATTTAACTCAAATAAAATCAAAAAATATATAAAAAGAAAAAGCTAACAAAATTAATTAATTGTTCACTTCACATTTTTTCCAACTTTTTGAAATTAAAAAAAGAAATAAATAAAAGAAGAATTAAGATGTTTTAAAAATGTTTAAAAAATTATGCAAAAATTGCTATTGCGATAATGTTCGCTTGTGAAAAAATACGTCTTTTGTTGCGCAAACAAGTGTAAAGAAAGGGAATATCGATTTTCGCAAAGGTTAAGATAAGATAAACTTATCGTTTCGATAAAACGCCATTGGCCATCGGTTAAATTAGTTTATAAACGCTTTGTTATTGGTTTTATTGCCAAGTACTGTGTCTTTTACGATTCGATTTCTATGAATCGCGCATTCGTACTTCGTTTGTAGATATAAACGTCTAACGTGTATAGTTACTTGATAGATGATAATCAACTAATCGTCGACTAGCTATTCGTGTTTCATAGCATGAAACGTGAATCATTGTTAAGAAAAACAAATTGTTCTAGAAAAGATTGAAATTTTAATCAATTAGTATTAATTTTTAACTTAATTTATATTTTTTTTATTATATTATAGCATATATTTTTTATATATTATAAAATTCAAATTCAACAAAAAGAAATAGTACAAAAAAAAATTTAAGTGAAAACATCATGCGTTATAAAAATAAAATTTTTTATACTAATGCATAATATAAATAATAATATAACAATGCACGATTCTTCACGATTCTGTATTCTTAATTTTATTAATTTATAATAATTAACAATAAGCATGGAATATATTATTCCAAGAACCAATTAAATCTGGAAATTACAATGATATTGTTTAAAAAACAACATCAACTTGATTAATATTGGCACGGATCGAATAAAAGTCATCCAAGATTTTTTTGCCAGTTTATTTCTCTTGAATCTCGAGATCTACATCTAAACGACGAGATTAAAGAGTTTCTACTTATCTTCCGACGAAGAAGTTTCCAGCTACAATTTCTGATATGACCGGAAATTCAACTTGCACGTAGAATGAAGTCAGTATTATGCAACAACCTATTGATACCATGATAGGGAAAAGAATGCATGTTGAATTTCTTATCAACTATTTGCATCGTTGGTTATCATCGTACATTAATTATATGATGTATGATCTTTCGAATTGCTTCATTTTTCCTATTGTCTTTGTATAAAACTTAATTGTATTATCAAATTTGATTTTTTTTTTTTTGAAAAGGAAATATTTTGTAAATTTTTCAATATTTACAGCAAAATCATATTTTAAATTATATGTTAAAATTAATTTCATTTATAAATTTCTTTAATGTTACAATAGAACAATAGTAGAATTTTTCAATGTTAATAAGCATAATATTTATGCTTATAAAAAATATAATTTCCGTTATTGATTCAAGTTCAATCAAACTCATTCATATTGATTCTTTATAAAATCATTGATTATTTGACAATAATCATCAAAAAGATCACGTATCCACATTTATATATTCTATCTCCCACTATCTATATATTCTATCCACATCTTCTCTTTTCGGTTCCATTGTTATTCCGGTCTCAACTCTTACTTCCACCTTCCATTATCCACTAATAAATTATTTTTTTTTTTCATAGGTTACTATAGAGGAACTATATACGAAGACCTTGACATATTCGATGGCATATTGCTCGCTCTTACACGCGCGAATGCTTAAATAGTGCAAACGACGAATTATCGACCACATCGCTGCTATATCTATGTATTTATGTGGCAAGTAGACGTTACTAGGCCCGTGACTTTGCAACAAAAAGTCCGAACGTCGAAGCGAAAACCTTCGTCACGGCCGGGGCCAATCATCGGCACAGTTGGATGTTAATCAATAAGAATTTTTTTCCGCGATTGGTTCAACCGATACCGCGAAATATAGATCCATATGAATCTGAAATTTAGGAAAGCCTTATTGTTTCAGAGATGAGAAATTGACGAGCGGAAGGAATTTGAATTTGATTGATTGTAGGCCTGTATTTCCTCTCGTACGATTACAAATATAGCGTTCATAAATTTTTATTGCTAATCGAAACTTTCATAACGCAAATCTATTTATAGAGGAGCATGTTTATCGAAAAAAAAACGAGATACATTGAAGTACGAAGTAAAAGTAAGAATTTGGTTAAGAAAATCATAAGAATAAAATACACCAGGAAATTATCATTATCAAATATAATGTAATTGAACAAAGTTTTAGAAAAACCGATATTAATTTCAAATATTATATTATTGTAGATTTATAATAAGAGTTTTAAAATTAATACTATTGTGTATTGTTGATTTGTCATCATCAAAATCATAAGTGAGTACATTTTTTACTTTTAAGTCAATATAATGGCCAACTTTTCGCACAATAATAATTAGAAATATCCATAACTTAATGATCGAATATGGAAGGAAATTTGCATTCTGATCGGATTTATTCGATTTAGGGTGATTGGTGGAGAGAATATTAGATTTAAAATGTCTGATTGGATCAGGGAATCAAATGAATAGATTTGAGGTTGAAGAAGTCATTAATAGAAAATGCTTAGTGAAATGGAAATTATAATAGGATAATAAAGTCGATAGAAAGTAAAAGTTTTCAAAGATTTGAATGAAATTATTTATAGGACTTGAGTGTAATTAGATTGTAATAAAAAGTAATAAAAGTGATAGATGGTTGTCTGATTTGTTAAAGACAAAATGATTGGTTCTGGGAAGATGGGAATAATCTTGCTGAAATATAAAAATATTATATTTCATAATCAGTTAATAATTTAATATTTTTCTAAAAAAAATTCTGCAAACTATACATATACATTTATAAACAAACATGTATAATATTAATCATTAAGTATTTTATTTTATCATTAAATTCACAGATACATTTGCCAATTTGATAAAAAGCACACTTGAATCAATATATTACGTTAATTTAAATTTCATATGTTTTATAAAAAAAAAATTTATCTCCGTTTATGTTGCAGAAATTACAAAGACGAGTACATCTCGCAAAATGGGTACGTGCGGGGTCTACTTGTCTCAACTGCGAGCAATGCTCGTGAGGAATCTTCTCTTGAAAAAGCGTGAGAAACGGAAGACTACGGCGGTATGTTAATTATAAAACAATTAACACTCCAAAATTGATTTAACAAGATTTAATATCTGTTATAATTAACATGAACTTGAAACTAAAAAAACTTATATTTTTTCATAAAAATTGATAAAAATTTCATAAGATTTTTGATAGAATTTCTTCTTTTTCTATTTTATACTATAGTAATTTAATTATAAAACATTTAATTTATTAATTTATTTTTCAAATTTTTATTGAATTCTATATATTATTTTGATTATCAATCATGAAACTTTAATCAAATGAATATGAAATATGAGATCCTATTTATCTGTGGAATGTTAAGTTATATCTCTTTGATCTTATCGAATTCCACATATTATGAATCATCAATAATATACATATAATAGAACTTCAATCAGTACATACTTAAAGAAGAAACGATGAAATTGTGAATAATTCATCAAAATCGCTAGTTTTGTATAATTAAATAATGCCGTACAGCTGTTTGACCTGATTTCAAGGTTCCAGTGGAATCTTTTAAGTTTATATTGAATGTGTCAGCATATATTGCATTAAGAAGGAATTATGTTTCACCGATTGTCAAGGAATGAGAAATCTGACCCAGACTATCATGCAGAGGTTCAAGTATATACCTGAATTATTATCGTAGAATTTTTGTTACCATTTTATGGAACGAAGAATCTTAATCGAGTAGTAGTTTGCGTTAGGAGGCCAGAACTAAGTATAGACATGAATACTTATTTTATGTATAAATCGATTTTCTCTACCTTTAACGAGCTATATTTAGGCTCACCTTTCCTCTCTTCTCTTCGATCTGCCCTTTATCTTAACAAGTCGAAGCAAAAGTTTTGATGAACAATGTAACAGAATAATATTTGAACAATAACATATTTTATGTAAAAGAAAATTACTAAAGAAAGAAGATTCAATAGTAAAACATCAATTAAAAATTGAAAAAAAAAGAGTATGGACATTAATATTTATTAATTCTCTATAAATGGAACTTAATCTGCTTATAAGGAAAGAAATTCTAGAATTTTTCATTGTAATCTAAAAGATAAAAAATAATAATTGTTAATCTGTTTGGTAATAAAATACTATAACAATGATTTGAATTGTATGAAAGAATGTGACTATATGCTTATATGACATCATGAAATATATTATTTTTAAATAATGAAAATTTACATGATGATTATTGATATTAAAATAGATAGCTAAAAAAAGATCTATAAATAACATGAGATGGATATATAATAAAATAATTATTAATCTTACCTGATCATTGTTGTTGAGAAATTTTTGCTCATAATAATTCTTTAAATAACAAGTATTTATTTTATTGGCGCCAGTGTCAATATTTGTGGCGTTTCTGGCATTTTGACAAATGAATTCTGCAATCTGTGGGACAGATTATATACATTATCATTTATTTTTTTTATTTTTACTATATAAAATTTCTTTTTAAAGATTTTATGTTGATATAAATAGAGAAATAAAAGAAAAAAATAATTTTTGCTTTCCAAAATAGAAGACTAATCATTAATCGATATTTGAAATTATCAATTTTTTATCATTAAAAGATTTTTGAAAATAATTACTATTACAAATTTCATTGGAAAAAAATTTACATATGAACGAATTGGTGAATTGGATATATAAGTCAGTCTACTATAGAATAAAAATATAGAATAAATCGAATATGCAAGAATCAGAAAAAGAGGGAATACAAAAAAAAAAGAAAAAAAATGTTGGGTGCCAGTAAAACTGCAATCCAAATTCACCAGTTACAATGGAGAGAAAAATACGCAGATAATTTCCATGGACAGCGACGAAGTGACTGCGTTTCGTGGACATTCACGTCTGCCAACGGGGAAGGCGTATTGCCAATTCATTAAGTGTTTTTACATTAGCTTTGTGCCAACTGGGCCAAGGGTCGTCATGGAAGGGTCTAGAAGAAAGGAGAAAAGAAGGAAAGAATAAAATTTTCTAATTTGTCTTATTATTTTTCCATTGATCTTGAAAGATGGATTAGAAATGGAATACAATATCCTCTTTATTTCCTCTTTGATACACTTGACCAAGGACAATGTGAATATATTAGAACATAGTATGATCTCGAGTTCTCAAAATAAATTCGCTCATTTAGCTTTACTGTTTGATGATTTCACGTGGTCGATTTCAACAGTACATTTTATTTTTAATGATTGACATTTGGACGAAAATGTGAATAGTTTTTAAATAATGATAGATATCAGAAATGTATTGGAAAAATTGTACTGGATAGAGATATTGAATCACAAGAAAATTTTGGAAAATTTTATTAATATATTGAAATGTATTAATACATATTTTATTAATGTTTTAATGAAATTTTATTACTATGATATCATAATAACAATATATTCAACAAAAAATATCTTCATGAAAAAACATTATTTATAATTTTATAATTTACTTTTACATATATAAATGTAAATGCACATTCTACTAATTCTAAAAACATCAATTTTATCTGCTCTTGAATCTTACAAATCATATATTAAGAAGAGTGAAATCATAATATTATAAAAATTACTTCTTTTTTGAACTTTTTTGTTTTCCTTCTCTTCCTTTAAAAATAGCTGGATCGATAATATTTGTAGGTCCATTGTTCCACATGGAAGTAGAAATAGTCTCCATCGGTTCAACGGTAGAAGGAAGTAAATGAGGTCCAATTAAAAAATAAACTTGTTGTATCCATGCTGGAAGAGACAAACCAGCCACGCAACATTGCCACAATGGCAAACCCAAATGAACAAGCATCATACGAAAATATATAGTGAAATTTTCTGCTAAACGATACCATTTATTAGTATTCTCTCGATGTAACCAGATTGTTGGTGACTCCACTTCCGGTTTTATTCGATATACCAAATAGATCTTAGCAATTTCACTTTCTGGAAAGCATCTTGCTATTTCAAATATTTTGCAATCATTTTCCTGCAAATGAAGTGAAATTGTATTCTCAAGATCGGTAGAACTACCGCAAATGGTTTCATTGTCTGATTTATGGATGTCATTGTAAGATTCTTTCTTAGTAGCATCTGTTTGATAATTTTTAGAATTGTTTGTATAGCGTTTTAAAGAGGAAAAGGTGCCAATTTCCATGTATCCTATGGGAAATTCTTCACCTGTATAAAATACATAAATTTTTTATGAAGATATTATCAATTTTCAAAATTGATAATGATATTACATTATTTTAGTTTGATATAAAATATGTAATTTAATTATAATTTTCATTCATTTCAAAACAGAAATTAAAATTATGATGCTATTGAAGCGTCGGAAATAGAAATATGAAATAATTATTAACAACACATGGGATTTCAAGCAATGATCATGAAAACTGACAGGAAATGCGTGGATAAGTTTAGAATAGAAGTTTAGAATTTTACCTGCTATCTCGAGATTCCACTGAAGCAGGAAGCCGTCGATCGAGGCGTAAAAGTTCTTAACATCTTCCGGGAGTGTACAACAATGGCGTTGTTCCCAGCTATTAATGACCGTAGTTTCACATCCGTTTCTACGATCGACTCGTACATTTTTTACGTATGGAAAACTTTCGAGAATCTTAACCACACCTAATGTAAGATTCTCGTAAAAAGAATCTTCCGTTACGATATCGACAAAGAAAGACATCGAGTTATATGTATTTTTTTTTTTTAATACTCGTTCATCAATTTTTCCACAAAGAACGATTTCGAAAGATATTCCAAATCTTTATTAATTAAATATTGTATCGATCTTAATATTTAATAATTAAAAATTATTCTTTCGAATGATAAATATTTTTTATTTTTAAAAAATTCAGAAAAAAAGTATCTGAAATTATATAATAAAAATTTTTTATTATTCGTCGAGAAGAACGAATCGTTAAATTGCACTAAAATTGAATTATTTTATCAGTAAAGGAAAAACTTCGAAATTTTCAATCCAAAATGATTTCTTGAAAAACTGTTTCATTATTGTTAGAAGAATTTTTATCTTTTAATCAATATAATTTCAATTTTTAAAATTCTTCAAAACCAATTATTTTTTGATATTATCTTTTTTTCCAATCTATTTTATCTTATTACAATATACACCATTATTTATTTTTTTTTCTTTTTTAACTAATTTTCTTTATGTATAAATTCTTCTATGAATAAAAAATTTCGATTTACAACAAGGAAATTTTAAATCGCTTGTGAACGATTATAAAACCAAGAATAATCGTGCTAATGAATCGGACTGGTTTGGTCCGTTGTTGATCGTCATGGTGACGGAATACGAAAGCGAACTACTAGTATATCCACTTTTCTCATATTCAAACGAACCAACAAGGGTTGTATCGAACGCTTGCGCAGGTTTACATTGCACGACAACTGTGGGAGAGGATGCAGGTGGAATAATTATTGCACGCACGAGGGAGGTTCCTTTTAGAAACTATGCATCTCTTTTTCTCTTATATTATATTTAATCATCATGAATAATTTTTAATGTATCTATTATTTAACTATATACATATAAAAAAGAACACTTGCTGGTGACGATTTGAGAGTCGAGTTAAAAACTTGTTCGATTTTAGAATTAAAAATGTCTTTATTTATTCTATATTTTGTTATATATATTTTTTTTATATTTAATTTTTAAAAAATTTTTTTTTACTTTGAACAATTTATTATTCATTATATTATAAGTTATAAATTATTTTTCAAATATTTTCATTAAAAGTAAAAGTAATACTATTTTTGAAATAAATATAAATTTATTTATATATTTTATTTATTTGAAATTTATTAATTAAAATTTGTATTATTATAATAAGTAAATCATGTGATTTTATAATTAAATTAAACATAATTAAACTAAATTAAACATAGAAGAATTAGAATATTAAGGATAAATATAAAAATAATTTTAAAAAATGTTAAAATTTTAATTTTGATTTATAATATTTTTTCTTTTATGTTCTTTTTTATGTTATTTTGTTTTATTGTTCACAGGAGATTTTCCTCCCTCTTTGCACTCTAGGTGTATTAATCGTTGTGAAAGTATTACCACCGAATCCAAACTATCCCGCAATGACAACACAAAGACAAGAAGGTGGTATATTCGAGACATTCAATGGCTACAAGAACAATACGATAGCTGTTGTTCCAAATTCAACAGAAACTTTGGTACATGTTGCTGTTATTATTATAACAATTTTATCTGTATTCTCAATGCTCAATTTCTATAATATTTCCATTTTAGGCCTTTTTAAATTCAATGAATGCTCTGTGGTTATCAATGTGGGATTATCCTGGCAAACTTCCTTTAAATTTCATGGTATTTGATACAAAGGATGATTTGCAAGCAGCATATTGGAGAGATCCATACAGCGTTCCCCTAGCAGTAATCTTCGAAGATTCTCAACCTATATCTCAACATCTCTTGTAATATTTAATAATATTTAATTGAAATAATCAATTGCAATAACTAAAATTAAGAAATTTAAATGCAATTATCTAATTTACATTAGATATGAGATAAGAACAAATCCATCATATACGAATCCACCTTCGCCGACTGAATTGTATTCTGCCCCAGTTACTTGTCGGAAAGATACGAGCCACTGGTTAGGTGGTGTATTGTCAATAGAGACTGGTGGATCATGTCCTGCGAATAATTATTTGCACTCAGGTTTCTTGGCGTTACAAATGATAATGGACATTACAAAGATAAGAGTATGTTTCTTGATATTTTAGATTAACTCGTAATCGAAAAATATTTTATATTAATTTAATTCTCTATATTAACAATTTTCAGTTAGATACGAAGAATACAGATATAACTGTACCGGATATTAAATTAGAAATGTTTCCTAAAGAAGCTTTCACTGCAGGTAAAGATGTTAAATTACGAATGTTTTAAAATAATTTTTTCATCTTTCTACATATTGATTAAAAATTAATAGATTTTTTAAATTATATAATTATAATAATTATATAAATTAAAATTTATAAAAATAAATTATAATTTATAAATTAAGTTTATATTTAAACTTTTTTCTTTTTTTATTTTTTTATTTTTTTTTGATGTTTTTTTTTCATGTTTCTAAGAATATTTTTTATTTAGACTGGATGTTGGCCTTTAGAGTTGTTATACCACTTTTTATGGTTTTGGCCATTTCACAATTTGTTACTTATCTTCTGATCCTGATAGTCGGTGAAAAAGAAAAAAAGATCAAAGAAGGAATGAAGATAATGGGCCTAAAAGATTCGATTTTCTGGTAAGTAAATGAATATTATTTATAAAATTTTTTACATTAAAATATTAATTAAAACATTAATAATACAATAGTATAAAATATTAATAATATATAATATAATATTAATAATAGTAATATGTAAAATATTAATAATATTAAATTAAAAAATGAAAATTTTTAAAAACTAATTAACGTTTTTATTTCAGGTTATCATGGTTCATTATCTATAGTGTTTTTGTCTTATTACTTTCTGCCGTCGGAGTAATATTACTTTTTACACTACAAATGTTTCAACACACACACTTTTTACCAATATTTCTTTTAGTAGTACTGTACAGTTTCTCTATAATCATGCTCGCTTTTATGATAACACCCTTCTTCGATAAATCACGAGTAAGTATTTTATTAATATTATTGTACTATTATTGTTTTATTACTTTATTAAATTAATCTTAATTATTTTTATCAGACTGCCGGTGTACTTGGCAATTTCGCAGTCACAATAATGAGCTTGATGTACTTTATTCAAGTCTTTGTGAACGATTCTAGTTCTGTACCATTTTGGTTGGTTTCTCTTCTTAGTCCAACAGGAGTTGCTTTAGCTATGGATAAGGTTTGTATTGGAAGAAAATAATATATACGAAAAAAGAGAAATTCTATATAAAAATGTATTCTTTTACAGGCGCTTGTACTAGATTTGCAAGGAGAAGGAGTTAATTTTGACAATCTTTGGTCAGGTCCTGGTATACCATTTGGAGGAAGTCTTATTATGATGACATTAGACATAATTCTCTATGCTTGCTTAGCTTACTATTTTGATTGTGTCATACCAAGTATGTTTTTTAAAAATATACTTTGTTATTATGTCCATTAAATTATTAATATTAAATTAAAAATATTAAATATATAATTTAGGTGAATACGGAACGAAAAGAACTCCTTGGTTTTGCTTCACGCCTGAATTTTGGTGTCAAAGAAAAGCTCCACGGGTGAATTTTATTAAGAATAATAAAGAAACGAATATAAAAATAAAAAAAAAATATATTTAAAATTGTATTTATAGGTACCATCATCAAATGGTGAATCGAACTCTTTTATTCCTGGTGAAGAAACTAATCGCGATGTTGAACCAGTAGTGCGTGAAATGAAAGGTCGTGAAGCAATTAGAATAGTTGATCTTTACAAATCCTATCAAAAGTGTCGTAAACCAGAAATTAAAGCTGTAAATGGTATTAATTTAACGATTTACGAAGGCCAAATCACAGCGATACTTGGACACAATGGAGCTGGCAAAACTAGTCTTTTTAATATATTAACTGGTTTGACTGCACCTACCGCTGGCACTGCCTTGATTTTTGGTTACGATGTTCGGGATTCTAATGATATGCAGATGATCAGAAGTATGACGGGCGTTTGTCCACAACATGACATTCTTTTTGATCTTCTTACACCTCGCGAACATCTTGAATTTTTTGCTGCTGTACGTGGTATTCCACGATCAATGATTGAACACGAGGTAACATGAATAAATTATATAAAAATTTTTTTTATAAATTATGAATAACAAATTATATTATTTATATATTATTATATATTATATATTATTATATTACAAGTTATATTTGATTATTTTTAGGTGAATAAAACTTTAAAAGATATCGATTTAACTGAGAAGGCAGATACTTTTGCAAAATATTTAAGCGGGGGACTGAAAAGGAAATTATCCGTAGGTATCGCCATTATCGGTGATCCGAAAATTATTATTCTGGATGAACCTACAGCTGGAGTTGATCCCTACTCCAGAAGACAGATGTGGTCTTTCTTACAATCTAGACGTCACGGAAAAGTGATTTTACTGACGACTCATTTTATGGATGAAGCGGATATACTAGCAGATAGAAAAGCAGTTATTAGTAAAGGAAAACTAAGATGCTGCGGTAGTTCTTTATTCTTAAAAAATAAATTTGGCATTGGATATCATTTAACGTATGTCCGATATTTATTAAAAAATAAAAAATGATATGATATAGTATAATTAATAAAAATATATTTGTTGATTTCTTACAGGTTAGTACTTGAAGGAAATGCAAGAGAACACGCTATTACTAGATTGGTAATGTCTCATGTTTCAAAAGCAGAAAAAGCGAGACGTCATGGCCGTGAACTGAGTTTTATTTTACCTCATAATTCAGTAGAAAGCTTTGCATCACTTTTTTCAGCTATAGAACATGAGATTAAAACTCGGTCAAGTAGATTGGGTATTAGTAGTTATGGAGTATCGATGACTACTCTAGAAGAAGTATTCTTACATTTAGAAAAAGATGAAGGTCCTGAATATACAATGGATAATTTATCAAAAAAAATGGTGCGCAATCGTGCATTAAGTAGATCCTTATCATTACAATCGAAAAGCACTTCTTATCAAAGCTTGCAAAATGAAGGTGTTACTGTCCAGAATGATGGTCAAGCAAAAGGTATACTCAATTTAATATTTTTAAAATATTAAAAAAATTATAACGTGTAAAATTATAATTTCATTTTTATTTTACTGTAGAGGCAGGAGATTTACCGGATGGCGTTCATAGTGATAGAAATCCTCCAGTTCTTGGCCTCGGATTAGACCCCATAAAAATTCGGCCTAATTTCATTCAAACCTTATATGCTATGCTTCGCCTAAGAATACTCAGGCTTTTTAGAAACATTCAGTTATTGTATTTCACTATCGTTGCGCCTCTTTTTCTGATAGTTCTTGGCCTTCATTTACATAGCATTCAAACAGTCGAGGTCAAAATGCAGTCTCTTAAATTGAATAACGGTATATTTTGAAATAATTGTATCTTAATAAATAATTTTTATCTAGATTAAACATTTTTTTTTTTTTTTTTTTTTTTTTTTTTTTGCTTTTACAGATACTTATGGAAATCAGACAAAAATTTTGTACACAAATAGTACCGACCATGATATTACAGATTTAATCGATGAAATAGGACAAGATGTAAAATATATTAAAGAGTACCATGGAAATTTTGCAAATTTGTTAAAAATCGCACCACATGTTGCTGCTTTCAATATCAATGAATATAGTTTATCTAGAATCAATTTGATTATCGCATATAACGATACTATGCAACATTCTCTACCAATCTTGATAAATTTGTTATCAAACACCTATTATAGGTATAATTAATAGTTTATTAATTTAACAACATATCGCAAATTTAAATAATTGTATATAAAATTCATTTATTTTCTTCTAATTAGGTTGATCTCAGATAAAGATAATCTAACACATATTGAAGTTAAAACACATCCTTTTCAACAAACTTCTCAGCCACAAGAATTTAATATTGGCACAGCGAGTTCTGCTCTATTTATTGGAATGCATTTTATATTGTTACCAATAACCTTAGTTGTAGATATGGTTTATGATCGTGAAGTAAGATTTTTTTTTATTTTAATCATATTTTTAAAATAATATATTATTTGTTTTATTATTTTAGATATTTATATTATTTATTTATATTATATAAATAATTAATAATATTATATATTATAAAACAATATTATATTTATTACTATATTCATTATATTCATATTTTTAGATAAAAGCAAAAAATCAACTTCGTGTTAATGGTCTGTCATTTTCTATGTACTTTCTAACATATTTTATTGTACTTATCGGCCTGATGACATTCATAAGTTTATGCATCCTTGGCATCATATTTGTCTTTGATGTGCCTTCGCTTCAAGAAATACCAGCACTCATTACCTTAGGTGGTCTTTTAATGCTTTATTGTCCATCATCCATTCTATTTTCGACGTGTTTGAGTTATATTTTTGATAAGATGGATTCAGCTCAAAGCATTTTACCCAATATTGCTACATTCTTTGGACTTATACCGTTTATACTAGTCACAACTCTTGATATGCTAGGTCTTAGTAAGTTATATTCAAAAATTATTATTTATTCATAGAAATTCATTTATTTAAATATATAAAACTTCCAATTTTTATTAAGAATTATATTTATAAATTAATATTGATTTATTAATAAATTTTTTAGGTGGGACAGCAGCATTCGTTTTACATGTAATTTTTTCTTTATTAAATACATTATACATACCATATGCTGCAGTATATTATGTAGAAAGAGTACATATAATGTGCTCTATTAATGCTGCTTGTCATCATCTAACTATGTCTGATTATTTAACTACGGAAATCATTTTAATGGCCTTTGGTGTGCTTCTGCACTGTCCGATGTGGTTTTTCGTGCTTTTATTATTGGATATTAAAAAAAGTGGTGGTAATATTGGCGATATATTGAAGCATTTTTTGGTTAGTATAATCGATATAATAGATTAAAAAATTAAATATTTAATTTATAAAATGAAAATTTTTTTTATCTTCATAGCGTAATGGTGGTTCAATTGGTGAAGAAATAATGGAAAACTCTGATATTGGAGAACATGAAGATGGAGATGTTAAAATTGAAAGGCAAAAAGTTTTTAATCTTATTACTTCATCATCTGTTCAAGAACCACCTGTAGTTTTAGTACAGGTATTATTTTTTATTACATATTATTTTATTTTTAATATTTTTTAATTTATGTATATCAATATATATATATAATTGAATTTATATGTCTATTAGAATTTAAGAAAAGAGTATCGACAAAGGGAGTCAGGATCATGCAGTTGCTGTTCGAAACAAGATGAAGAAGCTAGTCAAATACAACGAAAAGTTGCTGTAAGAAATCTATCATTAGCAGTTGAACCAGGAGAAGTATTTGGATTACTTGGTCACAATGGTGCTGGCAAAACAACAACAATGAAAATTATCATAGCAGAAGAAGCAGCCACTCGAGGAAGGGTACAAATTGGTGGTCATAATATTAATTCCAGTATAACAGAAGCTTTTAAACAAATGGGATATTGTCCCCAACATGATGCTCAATGGAAGAATATTACTGTCAGGGAACATTTAGAATGTTACGCTGCGATTCGTGGTGTACCGTGGGGAGATATTGACAGGTGATAATAAGGATAATATTGACAGATATCGAATATTTCGAATAATATTGAATTCAAATTATTTTAATAATTATAAAATTTTTAAATATATATTTAGTTAAAAAATTATTGTAAAATAAAACTTTATATTTCAGAATTGTAGATTTATATCTTACTGGTTTGCAAATTCATGAACATGCCGATAAACAAACTCAAGAGTGTTCGGGTGGAACTAGAAGAAAACTTAGTTTTGCTATGGCAATGATTGGAGGTCCAAAAGTTGTTTTAATGGATGAACCCAGTGCAGGAATGGATCCTAGATCTAAGAGATTCTTATGGGATACAATTCTTGCTAGTTTTCAGGTTTGTTTTTCTGTTAAAATTTTTAATTTATTTAAATATATGATTGTTGATAATAATTCTTTTATGAATAAATTTATTATACAACAGGGTGGTAGAGGTGCGATTTTAACTACTCATTCAATGGAAGAAGCTGATGCCCTCTGTTCTAGAGTGGGTATAATGGTAAAAGGAGAGTTAAGGTGTATTGGTTCTACTCAACATCTGAAGAACTTATATGGTGCAGGCTATACTCTTGAAATGAAACTTCTAGGTGGTGATTGTACACCTACTACACCTTCCGGTGATAGAATTACAAGTTTGAAGGAATTTGTTTCCAGTCTTTTTCCAGATGCAACTTTAGAAGAAAGTTTTGCTGATAGATTAGTTTTTGCTGTACCCCAACATGCAGTTAACTCGCTGGCCGAGTGTTTTATGCAATTGGAGAAAGGTAAACATCAAGTAAATAATTAAACCATTAAAAATTTTTATTAATTTAATAATTTAATTGATATTTCGAATTTTAGCCAAACTTGAATTGGATATTGAAGAATACAGTTTCAGCCAAACTACTTTGGAACAAGTTTTTCTTAAATTTTCTCACTATGATGAATCTAATTCGGGAGAATGATAACTCACACAAATGAATGTGTTTATTCTCATGTGTTGTATAGTGAAATACTCATGGAACTGCTCAATTTGTGCAAAAAGTGTAAAAAAATTATTCTTATTGGAAGAAGTGATTTGTTCTTTAATGTTCTCACATAAATATTATTGAGAACGAAGTTAAAAAAAAGATTTCTGCATTCTAAATATCAAGAATATTCTAATAATTACGGAAGAACTTTATATCTTTGAGCAGATTTTGAAGATATAAATTTTGTTTTGACTCGACAATTCTGTGAATGAAAGAAAACATATTTTTACGTTATACATGATCGACCTAATCATTAAAAATATTAGATATTTTTTTTGTGTCAATATATTATTGCGTTGGCAGAATTAACAGTGACTTCCTGGAAGTAATTATTGTGAGATAAATGGACGCATGTATAAAAATTAATTGAGCTGTAAATAGAAAATCGTGTAATGTGAAAACTGTGAACGATTTATTCGATTATCAGCAAAAATGCAGTACTAATACTATTTAAATAGTAATATTCATAATTTTTAAATTACATTGTAATATAGTCTATTATTTGATTCCTATGAATATTATAAATAAGTCTCACAAATAATATTGCTGTGGAATTGGAACGTTATCATCATTATAAGAATTATTATAAACATTATTAACAGCGAAAAAAATACAAATCCAAAGATCAATATTAAATTCTTTTTAAATATATTGAATTTAATGGATTATTTATCGATATTAATAAACATAGAAACAATTCTATATTCATTTATTAATATTTATTATTGCTCGCAATTATTTCGAATATTGTTGAAAGAAATTACATCATTATTTAGAAAAGATATGATTATATACAAAACATAATAGGTTGTTTAATTTGTGGATATAAGATAATATGTATTACATATTTATAAATATGTACTTCTCCAACTTATTTATCATCTTTTCTAAAATCTTTTGAATAACAAAAAACAAATCATAGGTTGTTAATCTTGCCTCAGTAGCACGTAAGACGATAATAATTTAATACGAGACTTCTGTAGAAGAGGCAATCGAAATTTGATAGAACAACTTGAATATGATAAAAGTATATTGCAAATAATATTTGATAATCTATATAAATAATTTAATAATTTTAAAAGAATTTTATTGACGTAAAATTATTTATAAATATTTTTAATTTTCTTTTCTATGTTGTAATTAAATTTTTTATTTTCTAAAGTTTTTATTTTTCCGAAAAATGCTTTAATTCTATTACAATTTTAAATAAATGAAATAGTCTGATTAAAACGAGTTGAAACTAAGTAAAGAGTGAAAATAAAAAAAACAATAATTTTTTATTATATGCATATTTTATGTAAAAACTATTAAATTAAATCCATTTTAAAAATAAACTAATAGGATAGTAGGATAGAAAAAGCTAGGTATCTTGTTTTATATAATCCGATTTCGAGTAAGCTTTATGCATTACAAATGAAATCTATTGAAAGGATAAAAAGAAAAGTTGAAAAAAAAAAATATATGGTCTCAAGTTTTCCTATTGGAAAAAAGATTTTTTTTAATATTTATGTGCGTATATTCGATCTTCCGTAATAAAAATTCCAAAAAATTAAACGGAAGAAATAAGAGTATTGTTTGGCGGACTGAATGAAATATTTTATAGATTATAGTGCATAGGTAGTCAAAAATAAAAATTTCATTGTAAGGGGATATTGATTTTTGTAAATAAAACTCGTTATAAGAAAGATATAGTAGGAAATGTAAAATGAAAAATTATACATGCGCTACTGTGCGTTCGCACATTTATAAGGGATTGTGTACGCACAACTCTCGTTCTAGCTAATATCACATGAATATAAAATTTAGTCAATTATGAAATTACATAAAAAAAAGGAAAACTGCAAATAATTTTATGAAAATTATGTATATGAATATATAATGTATGCATATTTATATATGAATATATAAATACATATATATTTATATATTTATATAAAATATAACATATACATATGTGTATATTATTTTTTAAAAATACAATTATGTTTTAAGTATATCACAATTACAAGATGGGAATATTATAAACATTCCTAAAGATACTGTTGTGCTGCATTAAAAAGTAGATATAACTTGCATTCACAAGTAATTATTTTTTTTATTTGTTTGTAGTTGTACATGATATCTTCTTTGCTCACATTAATCGCCATTTTTTGGCTTTTCCTGTTGTGACTTGTTCACATTTGTCGAATTTTTATATCGATCGATATATATGTATATACACATATAATGTATTATATATATTAATATACATATGGATTTATATTTATATAATTAGAGAATTTGCAGTGAGAGACTACTTTTTAAATTTTCTCAGAATTATTAAACTAAATTATATAAATTTACGAACTATTCAATATGTTCATAAATAACACTTTTAATTTAAAATGAGAAACTCTCTTCTATATAAATAATTCACAATAACTTTTATATGAATTTTTATTATCACTGTAAAAATTAATTTTTATTTTTAAAAAGAAAAAATTTCTTTATAACAATAAGAAAAATAGTTACATTAGAAAATTAGAAAATTAACATGAAAATATAGAATTAATAATTAATATAATCATCTCTTTTACTGCAAATCTTTCAATTTGTTTTAAAAATATTTATATTAATATTTCATAATATTGATTTGAAGTTTTTCTTCAACTTTATTTGAGTGATTTTTATCATTACCAAGTAAAATTTTTTTGTACCATACATTTTTTTTACAATGTAACTATTAAAATATATATAGAAATACAAGAAGCCATAAACATTCTTTCATAATCAAATTTCATTTATAAATCGATTATAAAATCGATTTTCATTGGTATATATGATTTTGTAGGAATAATATATACATATATTCGTATCGAGATATTTATAAACTATTATTAAGTCATCTTTCGTTTAATTGAAAAAATAGACAAAAAAAATTCACACACTCACACATATACACGATCACATACATAATCACACATGCATGTATGCACTCATGCACTGGCGCGCACGACCGGTCATCTGATAAGGATTTCGTGCTTTTAATAGACGCACTTAACACTCAAAAACATTAAGAGAGAAAGAGACTCATATATAGGTACAATTATTAAAAAAAATGCGATTATCATCAATAAAAACTACACGTCAAATATACATCCTATCGATGAACGGTTGACTTTGCGGAATTACATATTTGTTATGTAAAGTAAATGTAATCAATTGGTTAAATGGAAGCTTTTTCACCAATAAAAAGAAATCAGTTAAACATTTACAAAGTGTCCTTTTTCAAACGTTTCATGTTTTTTAAAATTAGAACATAATAAAAAAATAAGAAATGTACACATAATTGCGAAAATGCTTCTTGTTTTTCAAATTAATCCATTGTTGTTTAATATATAATTTTAAAGTAATTTATAATGATCCAATATACATTTGATCTAAGTAGTATTTGATTAGTAGTGTTATGTGCTATTTAACAGAATATAGAGATAAATATGATTTCCTTTCAAAATTTTCATTTTCGTAAAATATAAATAATAAAAGAATGTTACAAATTTTTTCGATTATTAATTAAAAAGTTTTGTATAAACTAATATAATTGCTTGTTTTTGAGCACAAATATTTGAATAGAATTATTACAAATACAGTGTTATGGTTTCCGATTTTCAAATTTTTTTATTTTATCTATTTTCTTTTTAAATTTAAGTTATTTGTACATCTAAACATCTACATAAATTTTTTATATTTTCAATTATAAGATTTTTGAAAATTATTTGCTTAAAAGCAAAGCACTTTTCATACAAATTGTAATGATATATTGAAAAATATTAGAAAATTATGAAAAAAAATACTATATCGAGATATAATTAAATTAATTATTGGTATTATTTATTATATTAATTTATATAGTAATATATTTCTACTAAAAATTTTTAAATAAAAAAAATAAATTTATATAATTTTTTTATACTATTAAAAATTTTATACTATTTAAAATACAATAACTTTCATTAAATTATAATTATAATTTATTTTAATTTAAATAATTTAAAAAAAATTTTATATTTTATGCATAAATTAATAATATTTTATATTTTATTAAAAAAGTATTTTGATTATTACATATAGTTAGCACAAATTCTTAATATAAAATAATTATTACGAAGTATATATTTGTCCTCCATTGATAATTTCATGTTTTTACGTACATATATACATGTGTACTTAGATATATATATATATAAGTACTTACATATTATGTGCTTTTTATTGAAAAAGACACTTGCATATAATGAAAAGTGTTCGTTATATAATTCGTAAAATGCAAGATATCAAAGAATTTCCGATTACCTTTTAATAATAGTGAGTCTCTTTTAATAAGATATTTATATAATTTATTTATTAATAATTGCCGACGATAATGATAATAATTAATTCTGTAGAACGTAAAGGACGTTAGGTCCCTCGCTTCAGATAAATAAATTTATAATATTAAATTTATTGTATTATTGTTATATTGCAATAAATATATGTATACAAGATGATTTACAAAATTATAGATAAAATGTTATTTATAAATTTTTTAAGAGTCTTATAATTAATAAAATACTTGTTAATATGAATATAATATATGTAACTAAGTAAATTCAATTTTCATAAAATATTTTATAGTTCTTAATGCTGCACATTTTTAATGTTTTCAATTAAAATTTTAAAGTTTTAAAGTTTTAAATAAGTTTTAAATAATAATATTAATATATTTATAGGACATCTTTGGATCAATTTTAAAAATCAAAACAAACACAAAAGTTGATATACAAAAATATCAATTAAAGTGTATGTATTTAATTATAAGCAATTTAAGTTTACACTAGAAAATGAAGCAAAAATAAAACATGATAGCAGTGTAATAATAATAATAGAAATAATGTGACTTTACTCTCTTTTCATTTCATTTTTCTAATAAAAACTTAAATTGCTTATAATTTAATAAATAAACCTCAATCAATATTTTTATATTTATGTATTTTATATTTTGGCTTTTAAACAAGATGTCCTATGATATATTAATACTTTATATACAATGGTTTTATCAATTATTTCAATCAACTTAATCTTTTTGAAAAAATTTAATTTTTAATTTTATTCATTAAGATGTTATTCAAAAAACATATAATTCATAAACATAGAAGTTACTTAAAAATATATACAATTTAATTATTGTATTAAATAATTCTTTTTTACTTTCAATATTTTATTTTCTTCAAAACAGTTCCTAAATTTATAATTTATATTCAGATAAAAATATTTTAAAATATTATTATGTAATCTATAATATTCTAATTTATTATGATAATCTTATATAAATGCAATAACATAACTTTTGTTTATCATAACAACATAATAAAATCTTAATCATAAGAACTTATGAAAATATATATAATTTAATTCCTTAAAAATGATTAATGTAAGTATATATTTTTAGTTACAGATATCAAATATTAATAGAATTAAATATTTATTATTCCTATTAATATTTAAATACAAGAAAAATTGTTTAAATATTATATTGTTATCATGAAAAAAAATTTTAATTACACTTATTAAAATTAAGATAATAAATTCTTATATATCTCAGAAAACATTTTTTACTATGTAACTTGATATATATATATATATATATATATATTTTAATTTCTTTAAAAAATGGCATAATTAATTATTATGAATCATTAAAAATATGATTTAAAAGATATATTCTATTTATACTTTAAATCATTGATACATATCTTTTGGTCTTTGTTACAAAATATAAATTACATCATTAAATGATGATTATCATTTTATTTTTACATTTAAGTTTGTTTTCTTGATTTATGTCTGTTTATAGTAATACATATAGTAATACATCATGTATACAAGCGATATTTTCAAATTTTTTTTATTTTTTTAATTAAAATATTTATTAACAAAAATAAAAAAAAATGATATTATATTAGACAAAATATAAAATTCAATTAAAGAAATAAAATTCTTAAAATTAAGCATTTTTTTTATTTTTCAGTATATTTCATATAATTTCGATATAATAAATTACATTTCTACTTTTTTAATAGTTCAATCAGAAAAAAAGATAGTATCAAGTGATTTTTAAAACTGAAATTTTCTCAATATATTTTAAATATAATTGTTCATAAAAGAACAATTATAAAATAAATGTCTTCATTTTTTTATGAAATTATAGTGTATACTTTAAGCGTCTATTTATAATATATTACAATATTCCATTTCAAATTGTTAATTCAAATTTATTCAATTTCCATAAATGGAAATCAAATTGAATTTTAAATCTAAAATTATTACATTTCAGTATTCTAGTATTCTCATTATTACTATCAAAAAAAAAAAACATTTCTTACAAAATTTTACTTTACATGAGATCAGAATTTATGAAAAAATTATAATTAGTTCAAAAAAATTAGCACAAAATGATTAAAAAATGCAGTATTTTTTTTTTATATTACATTCGACTGAATAATAACAATTTTTTACATTTTGTTTCTTTTCAGTTGCTTTTTTCATAAGACGTGCAATTGTATTTTTCATTTACCACAATGATCACGAGAATAAATAGAAAGTATAAGAAAAAAATGCACATCATAATAGTAAGAAAAATTTACACAATTGAATTAAGAGATATTAATATGAATTTTAATAATTTAAATTTTTCTTCTTCATGTGGAGAGATATAGACGATGATAATCATTAGCTCCAAAAGCGCAATTACATTTTGGACATTTACGTTGTCTAGTTTCATATCGTGTACGTAAACAATCCCAACAAAATACGTGAAAACATTTTGTTAAAACAGCATCTTTACGCTTAACTTTACAAGATGGACAAGTAAGAGTTTCTTTATACTCTCGAAGTTCCTCAGCCATTACTTCATCCAATGTTTCTGCAAGTTCTATTTTCTTCATTCTTTCAACTTTACGTCTTAATTGAGCTATTTCTTCCTATAATGAAATATATATGAGAATAATTAAATTTTAATTAACTTATAAAATTTTTTATAATAATATAAGAATATTAGATTACTTGTAATCTTTTTGTTTTGTATGCTTCTGCTTCTAAAGAACTCGTTTTTTCAGCTACAACTTGTTGTGCTTCTTTCATTTGAGAATGGTATTTTTCTAAATAAGACAATTAATATTTTTCTATTTTTCTATTGTAATTATTAATTAAATATATATAATATTACAAATATAAATATCTTTAAATAAATCTCTTACCAAGATGAAGTTTTAAATCAGCTGCAGATT